TTTTAGTGATAACCTCACTTAAACGTTTATGTACAACTATATTTTGTTAAATGATAGTTACATTTGAGAAATTACACACTTTTACATCAAACGAGCATACAAAACAGTTAAGCCTTGGTAGAAGGCTACTTTAATAGAAAATATAGGTTTTTCTGAGAGATTCAAACTTTTACAAACAATTGCAAACCTTTACATACATTTTACAAACTTATACTTGATACATGTTCAAACATTTTTGAATGACAAATACCGACACTAAAATACTTATGAACTCACCAGCTTAATGCTGATAAACTCTTTCAAAATAACTTGTATTCTCAGGTCATCAGTAGACAGGTACCGAGGCCAGCTTTTGAGAAGATGGAGCGCATTCAAGACTCATCTTATTATTTTGATATACGTTATTTTTGGTGTCTATACTGTACAGAACACGCTTGTATTAAAATTATATATTTAATGCAATGGATGATGTTGTTTGCTTATTTACATTTACTGTGTTGTGATACTTTACATGACGTCCTCCGCCCCAGAACGTTTCCGCCGTTCTTGGTTTTGGGGTGTGACAGATTGGTATCAGAGCATTGTTTATAGTGAATCAAGTATATCAACCCATAAAAGATATACTAAACTATAAACCCATTTGGGATTAAAACACTCTGACCAAGAGTCTATACTTAAAATACTAAAATATTTAATTAAGTATACTAGTCTACATTCATACTAAAACGTGTCACAACGACAAGAACAAAAGTATTACGATTGTTAAATATCACAGGTAAGCTCGGGGATATATGGTCAGTCCTGGGAATGGCATAGCCTGATCAACTATGCTGGTCCAGGAGTGATTAGCATATGCCCTAGAATGGTTGTGATGTGTTAACAAGTCTAAAAACTTACCAACAATACCACAAGAAGATCAATAGAACCTAAACTTAAAATACTATAGGTGTATTTTGTAATACCAACTACTTGTATTCTATATCTTTATACCTCTCTTCTCGCGTAGATTTAAATGGCTGGATTCCATCACGGCGACCCGTACTTCCAAATGAAGGCAACATAGAATGGCTCGAAGCAGAGTCTGATGATGAACACCCAATTCCGTTGGATGATCATCAAGCTGAAGGCTTCTCAGATGGATCAGACTCTAGCCCGAAGTTAACAACCTACCTCCAGTAGTCAAGCCCCGAACAACAACCCTCGACAAGCTTTTCTAGGTCCCACTCCCTTGTGGGTAGATAACTTGAATCGCTGGAGTGACGAACAGGGTCAACCCTTACCATACTTTGGGGACCGAACCTTTTACAACGTCAGCGATGGTGGCTCTGCTGACCGAGCTCTACCTGTCATTATCCGTAGAATAGCTTGTAATGTCGAGTAAGGTCGAGCAGCCATCGACCGGGTCGTGGAGATTGATGCCAAATCTGGTGTCAATACAGTCCGCATTCGCCGTCTCGAAGAAGACATGGAACGGACCCGGAGAACCAATGAAACCCTACAACAATGTTTGGTTGCCTCTCAAGCAGAAGTCATGGAACTTCGAGCTCGTCAAAGGGTTCACGAATGACACCTTCAAGAGGTGGTACGTCAAATGAGAGACTGATACGTGTATGGGCTTGATTTGATGAGTAGGGTAGTTTTTAGGTAAATTAAGAGAGAATAACAACCACAAATGATATGTGAATGGAAAGAAATGGATAGATTAGTAACAACTCAAGACCTATTAAGTTGTATACCGGGAAAACAATCCAAGACCTATTGGATTGAGTTCGTATCAAGTCAAGAAGACGTTCTAACAAGATAATTTGTGAATTATAACAATAATTCCAATTGAACAAAGGTTTTTTTCTTAAAAATTCATCTATTCACTTTCCCATGCATAAACTTGGCTTTATATGAAGCCTTTATTACAAAGTTGGTGGTTACAAGCCAACCAACCAACTACTCATTAAAACTAGTAAATGAAAATTAAGGAAACTCTTGAAATAACACAAAAACATCTACCACACTTAAGAATAACAAAAAAAACGTCCATGTCTTCAATTGTTCTTCAATTGCTAGTAATTGGTTATGAGAAGATGTAAAGAGTGTAACTCCCAATGATTAAAGAGAGCCATCAATAATAAGAGTGTAACTCCCAAAGTTTAAAGAGGGCCATCAATGATAACCTTCCAAATGCTTCCATAACCACCCAAGCTTTGAATCAAACAATCAATGAAGTCTTGGATTTATTAAACTTTTATTAATTTACTTAAGAAACCCTAATCCATCAACTACGTATGCACACCCCATAGGCCATTAATCCCAAACAACTTTCGAGCCCAATATTAAGCTACCCATAACCTTTTGGGCCTTCATTATCCATATACGGATCATTCCCTCCTTCTTCGAAAGGAATTGTCCTCAATTCAGTAAGAACCAAATTGTGTTGTTCCCCCATACGAACCTTCCCTGACAGCAAGTCTTGAAAACAATTTTTTATTGCATAATGTGACATTTTCTTTACTCCAACTTGGTCTTTTCTCCACATACACATGTTCTTCAAATAACTCACCAAATTCAATCCTAACCGTATCTTCGATTTGTGGATGAAAAATCCACTTCCGTACATTCCCATGAACTTGAACCTGCAAATTAACCTTGCAATAATTTAAATGGTTAATTGTAGTCATTTTAAAGAATGGGTCATGGTTTGTATTTGTAAGTTGATGAGCAGCATGCCCCAATATCACGGCTTCCCAATTAAAGGCACACCAAAAGAATATGAGTCCAAACATCATGAGCTCCCTCCTATGTAAATAATTAGGACTTGCATCTTCATATTTTCTCTTAGAAAGATGGTTTGTAAAAAGATGGATACCATCCTTCTTCTTTCGTTCCCAACAAACTTCACGCCATCGTCTTGGTGTTTTTGAACAATGAATGAAGAATTAATGAAAATATGTTTTGTTTGTGGACAACATAGAAAATAGCCATAAGAATTGCCACACAATGCCTCTTTTGGTGACTGATTGATACCACCATGAACACATATTTTTTTGGAAATCATCATAATGTCTTTTGAAGGGTACAAAATTCTGCCATCATCCAAAAATAATTGGTCTTGCTGTTTTTGAGCCACGAATGAAAAGTCTCCATCTCTAATTGCACAAAACTTTTTATCAAAAGTAATACACAAGTCTTTTTTCTCCTTTTGATCAATGAACGAAGACAAAACAAAAACATCATTATTAAGATCATAATTAGTAAAATCAAACCTCTCACCAAGGCCTTCAAAATGCAAAATATAAGCATTCCATGGCCTCCAAAGTGTAAAAATCTCCCACACTTTGAAACGAAAATGAAGATGAAAAACGAATAAACCTTCTTGATCAATGAAGCTTCCAATTTGGATTTCTTTAAGATCTTTAGAAAAGAAATTATGTTCATAAAAGATATGAGAACCTAATTTTTGTGACACTTATAGTCATTTGTTCTCGTGGTTGTAAGCTCTTGGAATGAAATTTGTTGTTCAACAAAAATCACAATTTCTTCAACAATTTTGTCCATATCAACAAAATTGATTTCTTCCACAATTGCTTCAACAAATTCATCTCTGATCACGAAATTAGTTTCTTCTTCAATTTCTTCAATAAATTCCTCTTCAACCAAGAAATTTATTCTTTCACAAAATTCCCCTTCTCCATCAGTGTCGTAGATGGGACCGGAATCTTCTTCCTCCTCTTCTTCAAATTTATCTTCCTCTATTTGTTCCTCATCATATAATTTGCGCAACATTTTTGGATAATAACTTTGAACAACTGAAATAAAAAAATAGCAAGAATTTTTCTTGAACAAGAACTCAGTTACACCCAATCGGAACTAGGCTTTGATACCACTTATGATACGTGTATGGGCTTGATTTGATGAGTAGGGTAGTTTTTAGGTAAATTAAGAGAGAATAACAACCACAAATGATATGTGAATGGAAAGAAATGGATAGATTAGTAACAACTCAAGACCTATTAAGTTGTATACCGGGGAAAACAATCCAAGACCTATTGGATTGAGTTCGTATCAAGTCAAGAAGATGTTCTAACAAGATAATTTGTGAATTATAACAATAATTCCAATTGAACAAAGTTTTTTCTTAAAAATTCATCTATTCACTTTCCCATGCATAAACTTGGCTTTATATGAAGCCTTTATTACAAAGTTGGTGGTTACAAGCCAACCAACCAACTACTCATTAAAACTAGTAAATGAAAATTAAGGAAACTCTTGAAATAACACAAAAAACATCTACCACACTTAAGAATAACAAAAAAAACATCCATGTCTTCAATTGTTCTTCAATTGCTAGTAATTGGTTATGAGAAGATGTAAAGAGTGTAACTCCCAATGATTAAAGAGAGCCATCAATAATAAGAGTGTAACTCCCAAAGTTTAAAGAGGGCCATCAATGATAACCTTCCAAATGCTTCCATAACCACCCAAGCTTTGAATCAAACAATCAATGAAGTCTTGGATTTATTAAACTTTTATTGATTTGCTTAAGAAACCCCTAATCCATCAACTACGTATGCACACCCCATAGGCCATTAATCCCAAACAACTTTCGAGCCCAATATTAAGCTACCCATAACCTTTTGGGCCTTCATTATCCATATACGGATCAGAGACCTCAGGGTTCTCCCGAGGAATACTCATCGCCGTTAGATGATGTCTAGTACATCATTATCTTTTGGGTTAAGGATTAGCCTTTAACATCTGTGCTCTAAGTAGCACTTATCTGTAAAATATTCCTAACTTTCAGTACTCTAATTAGGAATCTAAGAACTGTCAAACTTTCTGTATGGTATGATGTAAGACCTACTGTTAGGTCAATTTTCACTAAACTCGTTACATCAGTAATACCAGTATCATTGACAACTACTTACTCTGTGGGAAGAATCTTTACATTTGGGTTTTCCTACGCATCTTTCTGGTTATGAACACAAACACTCATTCAATTGTTGGGCTATGGTTAGTTAGTCCATGTGTCATTCGCACATTACTTACAAATTGATTCTTACTCTTTTCTCATCTTTATAAACTTATAGCTGAAAGATGCCTCCTCGCAAATCTACCCGGAATAACCCTACACCTCCACCACCTCCGGTCATCGATACAGCAGCCCTAAATGTTGCTGTAGCTGCAGCAGTGGCAACTGCCATGGCACAGTATCACTCTACTGATGCCAGCAGAGGTGGAACCCCGGTTAACTCCATTCCGGTTGAAACTCCTGTGCGCTCGAGAGAGTGCTCTTACAAGGATTTCACCAACTGTAAGCCGAAACCCTTCCATGGGACCGGCGGAGTCATTGCTCTCTCGCAATGGTTCGAGAAGACTGAATCAGTCTTTGAATTTGTTCTTGCCCTGCTGCGAGCAAAGTCAAATATGCCGCATGCACCTTCGAAGGGAAGGCACTGACGTGGTGGAACAGCCACGTTAAATCTCTAACTCTCGTCGTGGCCAACGACATAGGCTGGGATACGATGAAAGACCTCATGATTGAGGAATACTGCCCGAGGGGCGAGATCCAGAAACTGGAACAGGAACTTTGGAGCCTGACCATGAAGGGCACCAACATTATGCTTACACCGCCAGATTTAGCGAACTGGTGGCCCTCTGCCCTAATATGGTTCCCACTGAAGGGAAGAAGATCGAACGGTACATATGGGGGCTAGTTCCTCCGTATCAGGGGAATGTCCTATCATCAAACCCCGCTACCTTCGACAGTGCCAAGCGACTGGCACAACGACTCATTGACCATGGTGTCAAAACCCCTGCAACCACAACAACCCTAGCCATCTCAGAACCATCCAAACCCGCTGACACCAAGCGGAAGTTCTGGGATGATAAGAAGAGGCAGCGAACTGCCAAGAAGCAGCAAATTGTGGCAGTACATGCCGCGGTAACCCCTGCTGCTACTGCTCCGACGAAGCAGTATGCTGGAAGTTTGCCGAAGTGCAACAAATGCAACTTCCACCACAACGGCCCCTGCCGTGAAATGCAGTGCTCTAACTGCAACAGGAAAGGACACACCGTCCGTTTCTGTAAATTCTCGGCACAACCGATCACGCAAGTCCCTGGCTCTGGCGCGAGCCCAACTTGCTATGGATGTGGCGAAACAGGCCACTACAAGAGGGACTGCCCCAAAGCGAGAAATGCTGGAGGAGCAGGGAGGGTACTAGCTATAGGCCACGGGGAAGCAGTCGCTGACCCGACAGTGGTGACTGGTACGTTCCTCCTCGATAACTCCTATGCATGCATTCTGTTCGATAGTGGAGTGGAGCGAAGCTTCGTAAACCACAAATTTGCTCGCATGCTTAAACAACAACCACACGCACTTAAAGAACAATTCACAGTAGAAATGGCTAACGGCAAAACAGAAAACACCAGTAGCATATACTTAGGATGTATCCTAACCCTAGATAACCATTCATTCCCAATCGACCTCATGCCGGTCTCAATAAAAAGCTTTGACGTTATCATCGGCATGGATTGGTTGAGTCTTCATCGCGCCGACATCATGTGCTTCGAGAAAGCAGTCCGACTAAACCTTCCGTCTAACGAAACTCTTATAGTCTACGGCGACAAACCTGGTGCGAGTCTTCGCATTATATCAAGTATTCAAGCACAGAAATATCTGCGCAAAGAATACCACGCATTCCTTGCTCACGTCGTCGACACGAACCTCGAAACGAAAGAACTCAAGAACATTCAGTAGTGAGCGACTTCCCGAATTTTCCCAGAAGAACTACCTGGATTACCTCCGCAACGACAGGTCGAGTTCAGAATCGACTTAGTCCCAGGAGCTACCCCAGTAGCCAAGTCGCCCTACCGCTTAGCACCAGCAGAGATGCAGGAATTATCTGGTCAACTTAACGAACTGCTCAACAAGGGCTTCATAAGACCAAGCTTCTCACCTTGGGGAGCACCGGTCTTGTTCGTTAAGAAGAAAGACGGATCATTTTGTATGTGTATCGACTACAGAGAACTCAACAAACTGACGGTCAAAAATCGTTACCCTCTACCTCGCATAGACGATCTATTTGACCAACTGCAAGGGGCGAACTATTTTTCCAAAATTGATCTAAGATCCGGATATCACCAGTTACGGTACTAGAGGAGGATGTTCCAAAGACAGCCTTCCGAACTCGTTACGGACTCTACGAGTTCGTGGTGATGCCATTCGGATTGACCAATGCGCCAGCGATTTTCATGGACCTGATGAACAGAGTATGCCGACCTTACTTGGATCAGTTCGTCATCGTTTTCATTGACGACATCCTGATCTACTCCAGAAGTAAGGAAGAGCATGGCGATCACCTACGATTAGTTTTAGGAACTTTGCGAACGGAGAAACTTTATGCGAAGTTCTCAAAATGTGAATTTTGGATCCGAAGAGTTGAATTCTTAGGACACGTGGTAAGCGAAGAGGGAATCCACGTGGACCCATCCAAAATTAAAGCCATCGAGAACTGGTCAGCACCCAAGACACCGACAGAAATTCGTTAATTTCTAGGTCTTGCAGGCTACTACCGCAGATTCATTCAGAACTTCTCCCGAATAGCGAAACCTCTTACAACCCTAACCCAGAAAGGCGTGGCCTTTGACTGGGAAGAGAAACAAGAGAGAGCGTTCCAAACGCTCAAACGAGCCTTGTGCACCGCACCAATACTATCTCTCCCCGAAGGGATAGAAGACTTCGTAGTCTATTGCGATGCATCGAACCAAGGGCTCGGGTGTGTTCTGATGCAGCGAGGTAAGGTCATCGCCTACGCCTCCAGACAGTTGAAGACACACGAAGTTAACTATACGACCCACGATCTTGAACTAGGAGCAGTGGTGTTTGCTCTGAAGATCTGGAGACATTACTTGTATGGAACGAAGAGCACTATCTTTACCGACCACAAGAGTTTGCAACACATATTCGATCAGAAGGAGCTCAACATGAGACAACGACGGTGGGTCGAGCTACTCAGTGATTACGAATGCGATATTCGTTATCATCCGGGTAAAGCCAACGTAGTAGCAGACGCCCTGAGTCGGAAAGAATATTCTGGTCGCAAGGTCAAGTCATTGTCAATAACCATCCATTCACACTTGTCTAACCAAATTCAGGCAGCCCAACTTGAAGCCATGAAACCTGAAAATGTGACGAGTGAATCCCTTAGAGGAATGGACAAGAATTTAGAAGCCAAGGGTGACGGAGCCTTATACTTCATGGATCGGATTTGGACACCGAAACACGGTGGTTTCAGAGACTTAGTCATGACCGAGGCGCACAACACTCGGTATTCCGTCCACCCAGGTTCAGATAAGATGTATCTGGATCTTAAAAAGCTATACTGGTGGCCTAATATGAAAGCAGAGATTGCTACCTTCGTAAGTAAATGCCTTACTTGCGCCAAGGTGAAGGTCGAGTACCAGAAGCCCTCTGGTTTACTGCAACAACTAGAGATTCCAGAATGGAAGTGGGAGCGGATCACTATGGATTTCATAACCAAGTTGCCCAAGACAACGGGTGGACTTGATACCATATGGGTCATCGTTGATAGATTGACCAAGTCTGCACACTTCCTGCCTATCAAGGAAACCGACAAGATGGAGAAACTTACGAGAACATACATTAGGGAAATCGTACGACTACATGGTGTACCTATATCCATTATCTCCGATCGAGATAGTAGGTTCACCTCAAGATTTTGGCAATCACTGCAACATTCCCTAGGAACAAGGCTGACATGAGC